CCTGCCCCAGTCCTGCCTGGTGTTTGTAAACTCCTTGGCTAACTTTCAGCCTCATTAATTTTCCTCCCCTGGGCCTTTGCCCTTCCAAGCTCCGGCAGCGACCAGCGGGGGAACGGTCACAGGTACATGCCAAGGCCGGATTTCAAGGGCTTTCTGGCACTTGTTTTGCAGCGCCACAGGGCTCCAAAGGCGCAGGGAAGCCTGCCCCAGTCCTGCCTGGTGTTTGTAAACTCCTTGGCTAACTTTCAGCCTCATTAATTTTCCTCCCCTGGGCCTTTGCCCTTCCAAGCTCCGGCAGCGACCAGCGGGGGAACGGTCACAGGTACATGCCAAGGCCGGATTTCAAGGGCTTTCTGGCACTTGTTTTGCAGCGCCACAGGGCTCCAAAGGCGCAGGGAAGCGTCCAAAGCCGTAGCTGCTTCTCGGATGGCAGCGTCCCACCCTTTAAGTGCCGGCCGCAGGGGAAGGGCTTCTTGGGAGTTGTGGGAGCAGACGCAGCCAGCAGGCGCACGAGTTGGGACCAGGGATGCAGCTCTCTAGAGGTGCCAATGTCAGCTGCCATCCGAGGTAGCTCTCCCGACTGGCGCCGTGGGCAGAACACGCCGAGGGCTTTGTGTGCAGCTGGGGAGCAAGCAAAAGGGGGCGACGGACCCCAGCCCTTCTGCACGGGCAGACGCGTAGCACGTCTGTGTCCCCAGCAACGTTCCCTCGAACGTTTCCCGTCCATGTGCGGAATGAATGTTGTTGCGTGCACTGAGGCGTGTGCACCACCCGTAGAATCACAGGCCGTGGGCGCGCTGCGCATCAGCTGGGTGGCACCTGAATCTCTCCCGGGTGGCTGCCCAAGGGCACCGCTTACAGGAAACGATGGTCCCCAGATCCCCTGCCTGACCCTTCTCTCGTCTCCTTCTCATCCCAGCACCTGCAGCGGGAGCGGGCAGTGGGAGTGTGAGCAGCACGCCTGCCTCATCGACGAGGAGATGATCGATGCCATCAACAGAGGGAATTATGGGTAAGAGCTGTTGGCCCGGAGGGTGGTTCGTCCCGGCCTTTGACAACCGGAGGCTTGACGGGGTCGGTGTTCTACTGTGGGCGCACAGGGCAGCTGGCTGCCCTTGGAAACCTGCCAAATGCTGGGCCGGGTTTGCCGTGAGCCCCTGGCCTGGCCCTGAAGTGCTAGGTGCTGTACAGACCCCTCCCGAGAGAGCACCTGCCCCCCCCCCCCGGGCTCACAGTCTAGGCAGACCCGCCGGAGACGAGGCAGGAGGAAGGATTTCCTTGCAGTGGGGGGGAAACGAGACATGGAGACTGCCTGCGCCGGGCATGCGAGGGTTAAAATTCTGCCCCTCCCAGCCTGGCCTGAGTAAACGCAAAGTCCTGACGTCGTTTTCGCGACCCGGGGCCCCAGAAAGGCAGCCCGGTTCTTGGGCGAAAAAAGGAAAAACTCCCAGCAGCTGCCTAATTTTCACTGAGTCGTTTTAGCTTTGGGGGGGGGAAAGAGCCGTTTCTTGTGAGAAGAATGGAGCCCGGCTCTAGGCGGCAGCTCCGGCGCCCCATGGTGCTGGCGCATCACGGCCGGGGCGGGGCCTGGAAGCTCTCCTGGGATGCGTGTCCGTTATTCCTCCCCGTGTCCTTCCTATGCTGTTAATATACTCAGCAGTGAGACAGCACGGCTGGGCTTGCGGGAAAGGCACTGGCCGGCCCCCTGGGTCGCTAGCATGGCCTTGGCCTCACGGTTCTCCATCTGTAAATTGGGGATTCTCACCCCGCTCTGCCTGCCCAGGAGGTGGGAGGGTAAGGGGCTAGACTAGTGTGGATATGTTCCATCTCTGTCATGGACCAAGACAGAGCCCTGGACTCCCGAGAGACCTTGCTGGAATGGGCCATGCTGATCTTGGAGGAGCAGAATCTGGCGCTGAGGTGTCCAGCCATGGACACTGCTGCTTTTTGGTCCGTGTTCAACACCCTCATGCCCCCAAAGAACGTCTGGGCACCCCATTTCAAGGGCTACGTCTCGACTTCAGGCTTCTTTCGGAAGATGCTTTTCTGGAAGAGAGCATCCACACTGCAAAAGCGCCCCGAAAAAGCGATGTGCTTTTTCGAAAGAGAGCATCCCCATTGATCGGACGCTCTCTCGCATTTCAGTTGTGATTACGGAGGATGGAGTGGCCACCAGGGCACCTGAGCTTTTTCCTGGAGGCCTCTTCTTTCGAAAAAACACTCTTCCACATCCACATGAAAAGCTTTTTTAGAAAAAGTCTTCTTCCTCGTAGAATGAGGTTTACCGCCGTCGGAAAAACCCCTCCGTTCTTTTGACTTTCTGTCGAAATAACGCAGTAGCAATGTGGACGTAAGTATTGTTTTTCGGGCAAAATTCTGCAGTGTGGACATACCCATGGAGGAGGAGGAGAAATTGGAGAAGGTCCAGAGAAGAGCAACACAAATCATTAAAGGCCTAGAAAGCATGAACTGTGAAGGAAGACTGAAAGAATTGGGTTTGTTTAGTCTGGAAAAGAGAAGACTGAGAGGGGACATGATAGTGGTTTTCAAGTATCTAAAAGGGTGTTACAAGGAGGAGGGAGAAAAATTGTTCCCTTTGGCCTCTGAGGACAGGACAAGGAGCAAGGGGCTTAAACTGCAGCAAGGGAGGTTTAGGTTTGACATGAGGAAAAACTTCCTGCCTGTCAGGGTGGTGAAACACTGGAATAAGTCGCCTAGGGAGGATGTGGAATCTTTATCACTGGAGATATTTAAGAGTAGAATCATAGAATACTAGGACTGGAAGGGACCTCGAGAGGTCATCGAGTCCAGTCCCCATGGCAGGACCAAATACTGTCTAGACCATCCCTGCTAGACATTTATCTAACCTGCTCTTAAATATCTCCAGAGATGGAGATTCCACAACCTCCCTGGGCAATTTATTCCAGTGTTTGACCACCCTGGCAGTTCGGAACTTTTTCCTAACGTCCAACCTAAACCTCTCTTGCTGCAGTTTAAGCCCATTGCTTCTTGTTCTATCCTCAGAGGCCAAGATGAACAAGTTTTCTCCCTCCTCCTTATGACACCCATTTAGATACCTGAAAACGGCTCTCATGTCCCCCCTCAATCTTCTCTTTCCTAAACTAAACAAATCCAGTTCTTTCAGTCTTCCCTCATAGCTCATGTTCTCTAGATCTTTAATCATTCTTGTTGCTCTTCTCTGGACCCTCTCCAATATCTCCACATCTTTCTTGAAATGCAGTGCCCAGAACTGGACACAATACTCCTGCTGAGGCCTAACTAGCGCAGAGTAGAGCGGAAGAACGACTTCTCGTGTTTTGCTCACAACACTCCTGTGAATGCCTCCCAGAATCACGTTGGCTTTCTTTGCAACAGCATCACACTGCTGACTCATGTTCAGCTTGTGGTCCACTATCACCCCTAGATCCCTTTCTGCCACACTCCTTCCCAGACTGTCGCTGGGAAGGTAAATAAATGTCTATCAGGGATGATCTAGACGGTGCTTGGTCCTGCCATGAGGGCAGGGGACTGGACTCGATGACCTCTCGAGGTCCCTTCCAGCTCTTGGAGTCTATGACTCTACGAGCCAAGCAGCCTCTCTGACGTGGGGTGGTGTCAGGCTGCTTTGCTCTCTAATCGGACCTGGGCCTGTCCCCTGCTAGCTGGAGAGCCGCCAACTACAGCCATTTCTGGGGAATGACGCTGGACGAAGGCATCCGCTACCGGCTGGGGACCATCAAACCGCCCCCCACGGTCATGAACATGAATGAGCTGCAGGTGAGTCTGTGTTGCCTGGTCCGAGCCTTAAAAGTCATGGGGGTTGGCTTGTGTCCCTCTGGGGTGTATCGTGGCTGGTGAGGGTCTCATCCTGGCTGTGGCACTTGAGTCCCACTCTCCTGTCCTGGCCTCCAGTCAGGTTTTGATACCTGTGTGTGTGTATGGGAAGAGGGGGGTGGAATTATCCCCTTTGAGAGACAGGTAGATTAAGTGACTTGACCGAGGTCATACTGCAAGTCTGCCAGAGCTGGGAATGGAACCACGGTCGTGTATAACCCTGTCCGACACTGACTCGCTTTCCTAGTCTAGCTAAGCATACCTGTGCCCCTCGTGCTGGAAATGGCTCCCTGCTTTGGGAGCCGCCCATAGTCTCAGAGACCTTTGATTACTGCAGAGCTGTGGAAGCCCTGGGCTGCCCCGATTCGATTTTACACACAGACAGTCCTTCACTGCGTGAGCTTCAAGGCCAAGTGCCTGAGCTGAGCCCAGGAGGGTCCATGTAACGGGGGGCAGGCCTGCCTGCAGTGCTCACCAGCGAGCAGGCGTGCCCAGAAGCATGCACGCACATGTGCACAAGTGTGCTGCTCACCCGGAGGCCTCAATGCACTAGCATGCACAGGGACTCGGGCACGGGGGCTGTGTGTCTCTGTGTGTAACCACAGGCGGCAGGGCGGCTCCATGCCAGTTACGGCAGCCTGCTTTGAAGGCTGGTTCCGGATACAGGCAGGGGAAGGGGGCATATTCTCTGGAGGAGGCTGCGGTCTCCCCAGAGGAACCTCCAGGGCAGGGATCCAAAGCCATGCCTGGCTTTTTTTGGAGGCAGAAGTGGGCAAAGATCCCAGGCCTCGGAGTGAGGGGGAGAGCTCCATGGGGGTCTTGTGAGGCCCGTTCTGGTAACCCCAGCTCAGCAGATTCTGCCGCGCCGTCCCTGGATTCTTTTCCTTTTCTTCCCCTGTTTGTTTCCCATCGGAAAGCAAGTTCTGTGCGGGCCCCCAGGCCCTGCTGGGTCGCTGCTGAGTCTGCAAAGCCGGCCTGCTGCACGGTGCATTACCCCGGACACATTCTGTCCCCAAAGCCCTTCCCTCTGGGCATGACATTGCCATGGAGGGTGCCGCGGCCGGCGCGCGGGGAAGGCCGACCGAGCACTGCTCAGATCCGTTCTTTTCCAAGCACGTTCTTGGAGAGCAGGACGCTGTTTTTCCAGTCGGGACAGGGGAAGTCAGCTGGCTCGGCCGGGCAGGAAACGCAGGCTGTCAGCGGATGGGACAGGCTGTTCTTCCAGCTCACGCTATTGTTCACTGGCTGCCCTTTAGTATTTGTCTCTGGGCGCTTCTGTTTGACCCGGGACTCGGGGGCTGGCTAAGCCGGGGCAGGAAGAGGTGCAAAAGGAGGGAAAGGTCACTGCTGGGCGGTGGAGGGCGATTGCTTTCATTCAGGTACGAGCTGCCCCTGCCCGACTGGGCGCTCCAGCTGGGAGCAGAGCTGTGCTGCTCCCGCACGGGGGTGACAAAGATCAGGGGGCCGTCAGGTTTCAGTGGGCTCCGGTTGCAGGACCCTCAACAGCGCCTCCTGGTGGTGATGGCAGCAATGCAGCCACCTAAAGCAGGCCAGGCTGCGTGAAATACCCTGCCCATCCGCACCCTGCCCTGCTGCCCCTGCACGGTGCGGGTGCGTTAAGAGCCCTGGGCTTTGGAGTTGAAGACTGAGCTGCGATCCTGGCTCAGGCCTCTCCTGCTGCGGTGCAGGGCTGGGGCAAGTCTGCACAGTCGAGGCTGTTCTCCATCACTGTGGGGTTGCCACGCCTTGCAGGCTGGGGGCCTCGTTTTTCACCAGGGACGGACGGAAAATCCCAGGCTCACCCCGAGCCCTAAAATAGTCCCGGGCAGCTCCCAGGCCCAGTTGATTATTTTTAACTTTCCTCCCGCTGGGAGCCATGATCTGGCTGCGGCGCGGAGGGAGGAGGAAGGGAGATGCCACGGCTGGGATGGCCTGGCTTTGTTTTTCTTGGAGAGCCCCTATCACTGGCTCCTGGCATGAGATCGCTCAGGGGAGGAGATAAGCACCAGTATCAGCTCACCTTCCCTCGGCCCTGTGCGGGAGGTGCCCCTGTCCAAGGCTGAAGTGTCCTTCACTCCCTGGCCATGCGTATTTTTAGAGATGCTTCCTGATCACAGGGAAATGCTCCGCACTTGAATTGCATCCACCCCGGGGCGTGGCTGGCAGGCATCAGGGGGCTGGCCAGTGCTGGACTCCCAGAACCCGAGCGCAACGCCCCTGGCGCTAGGGGCTGTACACTCCCAGGGAGAGGCAGCCCTGATCCAAGGCACCAGCAGTGTCACTAGATGAGACAGAGGAAGGATTCGGGTCCCCGAATGGAGGTGCAAAGGGTAGAAATTTCCAAAAAACCCAAGCGACTTATGAGCCAAACGCTCAGGATACAACTAGGCTGTGTCTAGACTGGCAAGTTTTTCCACAAAATCAGATGATTTTGCGGAAAAACTTCCCAGCTGTCTACACTGGCCGCTTGAATTTCCGGAAAAGCACTGACGATCTCCTGTAAAATCATCAGTGCTTTTCCGGAAATACTATGCTGCTCCCGTTCAGGCAAAAGTCTTTTTCCGAAAGACTTTTGCACAAAAGGGCCAGAGTAGACAGCACAGTACAGTTTTCTGCAGAAAAGCCCTGATGGCGAAAATGGCGATCGGGGCTTTTTTGCAGAAAACCGCGTCTAGATTGGCCACGGATGCTTTTCCGCAAAAAGTGCTTTTGTGGAAAAGCATCCTGCTAATCTAGACGCGATTTTTCCGAAACTGCTTTTAACGGAAAACTTTTCCGTTAAAAGCATTTTCGGAAAATCATGCCAGTGTAGACGTAGCCTTACACTGCATCCCTCTTATGCAAAAGCCTATGCAAATAAAACACAGATTAGCATATTGCCGCACTTCATTTGCATAATTAGGGCCCGTTTTTGCGCAAGAGGCTTTTGTGCAAAAAGGAGAGCTACATCGACTCTGAGTTTTCTTGGCAAAAAATATGCTAATGAGGGACTCGTTTGCATGAGTCATGATCTCATTTGCATATTTTCTACTGATCTGTTTTTTCGGTAGGGTTTTTGTCCAAAACCAAGCAATGTGGATGTTTTCTTTTTGTGCAAAAACCCCTTTTCTCGCAAGATCGGTAAACTTCCTTTTTTGGGGCATAAGGATCTTGCAGGAAAAGGGGTTTTTGCGCAAAAAGAAAACATCCACACTGTTTTTGCACAAAAACCCTAGTGAAAAAACGGACCGGCAGAAAATATGCAAATGAGATTGTGATTCATGCAAATGAGTCCCTCATTAGCATATTTTGGCCGAGAAAACTCGTGTAGACGATCCCTTTTTGTGCAAAAGCCTCTCGCGCAAAAATGGACCCTAATTAATTATTCAAATGAAGTGCAGCAATATGCTAATCTGCGCTTCATTTGCATCGGCTTTTGCACAAGGGGGATGCAGTGTAGATTAGCCCCGTTGATGAACAATGGGACGCACTTGTCGGAGTGGAAGGGACCTCGACAGGTCTTCTAGTCCTGCCCCTTTCACTCTCGGCAGGACTAAGTATGAGCAAGACCAGCTCTGACCGGGGCCTGTCAAACTCAGGCTCCTACGTGCCTGTCCCGTTTGCCAAAGGGACTTAGGCGCTTTGTAAAGTTACCTAAGGCAAGGGGCATTAGGCACCTCCATCCCTCCGACGGTCTGAGCCCCGGTGCCTTGCGCAAAGTGAGTGGCAGAGTCCCAGCTCCCGAGTCCTGATCCGATTGCCGAGGGGCTTGGGATGGGGGGGGGCGAGGAGCCGGGGGCGGGGGCAAGGCCAGGCTCTCAGCTGGCCTCGGGGTATCTTCTCTAGAAGGGCTCCTCTCTTGAATGCAGCCTGGAGCGCCAGCCGCCCTCGGCCGTGGTGTCCCTGGGGCTCAGCCCCCCGTGCCCCGCTGAGGCGCCCTGTCTCTGCCTCTGCAGATGAGCGCGGACGCCGACGAGCCGCTCCCCAGCCATTTCAACGCTGTCGCCAAGTGGCCCGGACTGATCCTCGAGCCGCTGGACCAGGGCGATTGCGCCGGCTCCTGGGCTTTCTCTACAGCAGGTGAGACGCCCGTCGGGCCACGGCGCCCGGCACGGCGCTCTGGCAGGGGGCTGACGGGTGGCAGGTGCATCTGTTGCACTAGCGCCCTCCATACCTGTCTCTGCAAGACCCCGGCCACCCCCTCCTCTTGCTGCCAGGGCTCTGTCCTGCTGCTCAGCTGCTAGCGGGGCGGCTAGGACGGGCCCCGGCTCCCAGTTGCCCCGACTCGATTTGGCAATGCTGGACCCACCTGCCGTGTTGGCCTGTCCTTGATGCCCCGCGCTGGCTGCTCCCTGTGCCAGATCAGGCCCCTGGGGGGAGGCTGACGGGCCGGGGGAAAGGGGAATGGCTGGTTCTGCTGTTAGAAGCCTCTTAACCACCCGAGTTTTCTCCCAGGGGTGGCTTCGGACAGGATCTCCATCCACTCCATGGGGCACATGACGCCTGCCCTGTCCCCCCAGAACCTCATCTCCTGCAACACCCGCAACCAGCAGGGCTGCAGCGGGGGCCGGATCGACCGGGCCTGGTGGTATCTGCGCAGGAGAGGGTGAGGCTGGCTGCTTCGGGAGCCGTGGGGCCAGGCTGGCCCGCAGCGGGGCAGCGCGAAGTGCCCGGATCTGTGTCTGGAGGGTCAGACCTCGGGGAGTGCGGGGCAGGG